CATTTAGGGTTTCGGCTTCCCCTGTTTGGAAGGAAAGGGGGCCGACGCAAATGGGTCAGTGGTGGGCAGTTCTTTAGTCCTGGAAGAAATAGAGGCGATAGAGACCGACCCGGCTATCACCTGCTTGTTGGTCTGAGATACAACTTTGTATGCCGCGATGGGTTGGGCATCGGCCCCGTGCCCGCCTTCTGGACTGTAGTGGCGGGAGTACTTCGCTAAGGACCGTGGGTGGAAAGGCGGGCTGGTCTTGGATGCCAAGAAGCCTTCCTGGAGGCCCACGTGCCTTTGGAGTGCATCATGGGTAACGGGGCCCAGTTCTCCAGAGGCGCCGCCTTTGGGAGGGTGGGCCTCTGGGCCATCAACTGTTGCTCTCGAGGGCCGAAGCGATGAGGCCCCCGAATACTGGCCTTGGGGAGGACGGGAGCCATGGGTTCCCACGTCCAGGTTCTGGAGTGTAGGGCCACGCGGGTACTGAGCAACTTCAGCGGAGCCCAGGAACGGCCCGGTGGCCGGAGGTTCTTTCACGACACTGTGAGCCGCCAGCTCCTCCTGGCTCTTCCTCTTGGTGAAGGGTGCTCTGAGGAACACGTCGCCGTCATCCAGCTGCTTAGAGAAGACTTGGCTTTTGGAGAGAAACGGGGCCTTCGTGAAAATGTCCAACTCATCGCAGTAGCTTCTAGAGCTTCGGAAAGGGGCCGTGGAAAACACGTCGGTGTCTCCTTCGGGCATTTCCGCGGGCCGTGGTGGGAAGGCGTTGAACAGAGGTGGCCCTGGAGATGGTTGGAGGCTCAAGTCCTTCTGGGAACCCCTCTCCCTTTCCTGGAGAGGGGGGTTCATTTTGCAAGCCTCCTCTTCCTCTTCCGAGTCCATCAGCAGAGGTCTGGATCCGCTGCAGTCCAAGAGGTCTCCCTCGTGGTCGGTCCCTTCGCCTTCGCTGCTGCTGTGGAAGGAGCTGTTGCTGGAGAGGCCGCCCCGCCCAAAGAAGTCAGTTTCTCCTCCGAGTGGACTGGGCTGCGGACTGTTCAACGGCAAGCCAGGGGTGGGCCCAGGCCTTCGGTCTTGCTCAGGGCCGGCCATGAAATACGCAGCCGGCTTCCCCTGCGGTCCTGCAAAGTGTAAAACAAGAGCATTACTGGCTACTCTTCGGATAGGCCAGCTAAAACTAAAACCACAGAGGTGTAATGGCACGGGATTTAAAACCAGCAGCACGCATGTTGGGGAGAGGAGGGGAGGAGAGATGGGAGGGAGAAATATGTTTAAAATAATAAAAATAAAAATCATACAAGAGTGAAGCCAGGTTAAGTTACAACCAACGTACACAACTGGGCATTACTTCACGTTTCAAAGTTCTACAAAATGTGGGTTAGAGAGAGATGAAAGGTGTTAATCAAACAGACATACAAGCCTCATTCAAGACTTGGGAGGATGAGGGTGATAAGGAGGAAATGGTTGTCCCAGACATCGCTTGACACAGGGCGAGCTGTGTTTCCAAGGAACCCGGAGTTCTAGATCTCGGGATCCCCAAGGGGGAAAATGAGGAGATCCATTTCTTCTCCGTTCTCAATTCTTCTCAAACTCTAAAGCAGAGGTCTCCAAACTTGGCAACTTTAAGACGTGTGGACTTCAACTCCCAGAATTCTGGGAGTTGGAAGTCTACACGTCTTAAGGTTGCCAAGTTTGGAGACCTCTGCTCTAAAGTGAGCTCAGGTGATGCATTTCTGCTGTCTTCCCACAGGTTCCCTTGCTTTTCTGTCTTTTGATCTGATGGTCTACCTCAAGGGTCTTCAAACGTGGCAAATTTAAGTCTTGTGGGCTTCCACTCCCAGAATCCCTGAGCTAACGTGACTGGAGGGGAATTCTGGGAGTTGAAGTCCACAAGACTTAAAGCTGTCCAGTTTGAAGGCCCCTGGTCTACCTCCTGCCTCCTGCCTAGGAAAATAAAGAGAAGTTTCAAAATAAAAGGTGTGCTAGCTTGCTTTAATCAAATCCTGCTTCCTTTGGGGGGCGGGGGGCAAACGTTTTAAATCTCATCAGTGTTAGAAATGAGAAAGCTTTAGCAACCATCTCCAAGCGGAGGCCAACTGGAACGCCTCCTAAGAGCTCTTGAAGGATCAAATCTACCCATTCCAAGCTGTTACTGATCTTGGTCGGTGGAGGAATGGGGATCAACCACGTGCCTCTTTGGGCTTGCCAGCTTTCTCAAAGAGGCAAAAATACCTCTTAACTAAAAGGGACAGCAAGTCTATTACGACCCTAGTTTGCTAGTGACAACGAACAGGGCCAGCGCCAGCAGGGCTGGTTCAGTCCAAAGCCCGCAGAACCTGCCCGCCTGGCGCCAACCAGCCAAGCTATCCAAACAAGCAGGGGGAAAAAATTGACCTTGCTACACACATGGAAGAGATCAGATGAATCACACACACAGTTATTAGAACACAAGAGCGCTTACCTTCCGAGAAAAAGTAGCAGGTTACAATGTTAGCGGGAGGGCAGGAAAAAGGCATGTAAAAACTAAATTTCAGAGAGCCCAAGGCTAAGGCCTTCACGTTTACCACTATCCACAGAAATTATGGGACACAATGACGGGTTCCAGCTCAAATTCGGAGGGAGGGGAAAGAAGAATTTCTGCTAACTGGGGGAAGGCAGAAGATCGCGGTTCACCAGCGGGCATTGGCCAATTTCTGGCGGACCAGCTGAGCTAATAGTGGCGTTGGGACCTTCTGGAGATGGTAGGGATGTTCATCAGGTCCACAGAAGCTCTGCAGTGCTCTCTAAGCAAAAACGAACACTCTGCCTCACTCCTAAAGCCTCCACTGTGAAGACAGAGTCTACCCTCTTTATACATTTAACAAAAGTCTGGAATAAAAGGATTTCTAGGTCAGTTTATACAAATGTCTTTGAGCTTCCATAAGACACTTCTTAGGCAAGGCCATCGATTTTGAGCTGCTTCTCGTGATCAAAGATGGGACTCATAGGACAAGGTATGGGCATTTTATTGACAGAGCATTCAAGTTACATGATGAAATAAAAGGCCTGCTAGGTGAGAGGCAAAAATTTCCCTGGTGCGATGCTTAAAATTCTTGACTGTTGATCTGTAGTTCTCAGCCATCCCGTCTCTCCATTTTTAACAATTTTTTAAAATCAAATTTCAGCTGTTTGGAATTCTGTAAGCAGGAACTAAAGTCCTAGAATTAGCTTAAGTATAGGATCTTTTCACCAGTTTAACCCGCAAACACCCCTGCAACCTCGTGCCAACCAGAGTTCTTGGTGGGGTGCACCAATATGGCCCTGAAAATCTCTACAGCAGGAAGGGCCAATATTTTTGTGCTCAAGGCCATTGTTTTAAGGGGGGGGGGGGGGAGTCAAGGGCTAAACGTGTGAAAGGACCGGTGCCATATCAAGCAATAAGCAAGCCAGAATTTGGGGTTTTCCTCCCAATGGTTGGAGAACTTAAAGGGCTTCGTTGTTTCAACCAGGTTAATTTTATTTGGGGGGTTCACTCAACAGAACAGTCAACTCTGCCATTGATTTTTGGCAGCGATAATAGCCGGGTAGAAGGAGAAGTCCTAGATTACATTGCTCTACAACACGGGTATCCAACACCTTGGCAACTTTAAGACTTGTGGACTTCAACTCCCAGAATTCCCCAGCCAGCTAGGAAATTCTGGGAGTCTTGAAATTGCCAAGGTTGGACAACTGTACAACAAGAGCATCGTAGAAGCTGATGCTTCACTTCTCCCCGTTTTCTTTAAGCCACACCAATGTTTACAAGTTGGGTTTTATTTATTTTATTTTTTAGCCTGAGCATCATGGAAAACAACTTTCTCCACCACACAAATTGGAGCATCAGTCTGGCCATACTGCTGAAATGAGATATGGGTAGAATTTGTCAAGGTGACTGTCTTCTGTGGTTCTTTTCTAGGATGACTTAAAGACAACCTGGCTGCAATCAATGTTATCCATAGAGCTGTTTCCAAAAATCATCTCTTGAGCAGTCCAGAGGCTGGCCATTTTCCGTTCCTCTTGCCCTTGGTTCTTCTCTGGGAATTCTTTTCTGCGATGGGACTTCTTGTGTCTGTTTCCAAGACCTTCCCCTCCCACCCCTTTGCCAGAAGATGTGGGCCTCTCTTCTCTTCATCCATAGTTGCACCTGGAGTTCCGGAGAGTGGATTTCATTTCCCAGACATTCTGCTCTCAACTTCCAGAAGCCTGGAACAAAACCTTTCTCAACTATTCTGGAGGTCTTTCACAGGTAGGGAAAAAACAATGAAACACAACTCTCTGATGTTTCTGATTGACAGTACTCAATCAAGTTTAGATACCGGACAGGGTGGAAATGAAATTGAGATACTCTGGCAAATGTTTGGACTAGTCCAGTGGATTGTTAGCTATAGTATCAGGAACGTTCTGCTTTAGAGCCCAGGTTACTTGGCTGGCCTCTGCACCTTCACTTGGGAACACGGAGGAAACATTGCTACACTGACACCGACGACAAAAATGTCTTAATGACAGCAATATGAATCTAGAAGACACCTGGAACTTGGAAGTTGCAAAGTATGTTTTCTGGAAACCTGGCGTATGTGGGTATGGGTGTGCAGGATTATACTGCTCCCAAATTCTCAGCACCCTTCCTGCAACGCTACTCTGTCCCAACTTCCAGCAGTGCCCAGTCCATCAGGCCTCCTGTTCTTGTCCATCCTTCATGGCCAAGTGATGTTCAGGGCAGGGCAACGCCTCTAGCTCCCTAGAGAGCTGGCATTCAAAACTCTTTGGCACCTGCAAGTTAAGTCTGCAAAGTCTTTCAACTAAAAGGGTTTAGCCACTCAGAAACAAATAAACAAAACGCAGCGGCTCATCTTTCAGCATGGCATAGGTCATCAGTACCCCCAAATAGAATAAGCAGGAGAGTTCCCGCATGTGAAAGTTGTATTAGAAGTTGGAATGCTGTAGGCATGAACCATGATTCCTATAGCCCCAGCAGAAGGTAATATTTGTAGCTCGAGGTTGAACTATGGTGGTCTCCGAGCTTGGGGGTTTGGCTTGCAGATGTTTCACGGCCCAACTAACAAACTACCTGTTGATGTTACCTGAGTAATGAAACATTTGCAGGAAAACAACCACGATGCTCAGAGAGCCCCAAGGACTCCATGATTAATATAGCGTATCGTCTCGAGCTCCTTGGCTTTGAAAAAGGCATTAAAAAAATGATCACACACGTATGCACACATGTGTTACATCTGCTTACCAATGCACAAAGTCCGAGTTAGAAATGTGTTAATTTCCTTCTTCCTCCTCTGTCATCCTTAGTCACAGCTCAATCCCAGCCCTGCCATTTTTATCTCTAATTAGAATGGGATCAAATTTGCAGGACAGCTGGGACATTGTGATTGTAAGTTGGGGGCTCTGTGTTTAGAAGAAGACGCCTGGCCCTCTTTGCTCATCCCTGGTGCTCTGTGGATAAGGGAACCGGGTCCAATCCAGACAGCAGAACAGGGAAGAACCATTTCTGGTGGGACACTTGTGTCTAGCACACTGCAGGATGCAGCTGAGTGACTGGCTACCTCGTCTCCATTCCTGAGATCTTTACAAAATGCTCATCTACTCCTGCCGGGCACATCTCCAATTTTCTGGGTGATCCAGAGAAGGCCCATGTGGCTCCACCTGAACAGGTTGCTGCAATTTATACAGCATCCGTTTATTGTCATGGATCAGTGATCTACTGCAGGGGTATACAGTAGATCAGGGGTCTCCACCCTTGGCGACTTTAAGCCTGGTGGACTTCAGCTTCCAGAATTCCCCAGCCAGCAAAGCTTGCTCTCTTGTAATGCCTTCCTCTGCAGTCTCTCCACTTTAGCTGGTAAGAGAAAAAGAAACAGACACGGCTGGCTGGGGAATCCTGGGAGTTGAAGTCCCCCAGGCTTAAAGGGGTCAAGGTTGGAGACCCCTGATCTACTATATAGGAACTAGAGATAATTCCGGTACAGGAATCCCTGCAGTCAATCCCTGTCAGTCATTCTTCAGATCTCACCTCTGGAATTGGGAGTCAGGAGAAATCTTTGCCGTGGTCGTCAGGAGGGGCAGAAAAATTAAAATCCATCCTCACTCATGGTCTGGTAAGGACCAGAATGGCCATTGGTTGGCCTCACACGAAGGAGGAACATCATTAACAAGGCCAAAACGTCGTAACAATCTACTTCCCAGGATGCAAAATGAAGGAGTCCCAGGGACTATTATAATGAAATGCTACGTTCAGCTTTTGATAACCAGTGATCTACCTTTATTATCTCTCTTCCTTTTGTTTCTCTGCTCTCAGGGACTATCAGCAAATCTCTTTTGGGCAGGAAAGGTTAAAAATAAATAAATCAGATTGTGTCCTTTTGGTCAATAAATACTACTTTCACATGGAATAATAAGAGAGCATGATAAAG